TATTTTTTTGCTGATGAATTATTTAAGAAGACTTTATTTATAGTTTTCATTACAGATTGTAAGAAATCGTTCTTTGGTGTGAACACCCTCGAACTATTCATGATCCAGCACTTTAATCATGCAAACATCCTTTTTCATTCTCTCTGCCATAACTTACAAAGATATTATTATTAATTGAATTAGTCATACCAATTATCATTAATTGATTTCTCAAATCAGAAAGTTCAAAATCAACACATTGGCTGAGCAATTATTATTCATATTGAAAAAGCTCTTTTTCTTCTCAAAAATGTTTTTAATCATTTTGTTCAAAATAAAATTTCAGAAAATGTAAGAAAAGTAGTGCATGAATGATTTTTATTAATGATTAAAATAATGTTTATTTTCAAGAACAAATTGCTTGAATATAAAACTAGATTACAAACAGAGTCTCAGAAAATTTATTATTAATTATTGGATTTAAATAAATAATGTTTATAATACATGATACAGTACTTTTATATACACTACAAATATAAACAAAATGATAAATAGTAAGACATTTTCAAATTGTAAGATTTGGTGTGCGAAAAGGGTTCAATGGCCGAGTGGTTAGCAGGGACACTTACTGTAGGGGCGAAGAAAGTCATTGGTCGAGTTCCTAGTCCACATATCAAGCGCCCTGAGCATCTTACATTAGATGGATATGTGCAATATATAAAACTACGCTACTATTATTATTATTATTTACTCGAGGCGTCAAGGATGTGAGTTCACGTCTACACCTGTCCAACATACCTCTATTGTAGTGCACGTAAGGCCGCTGGCAGTGGTCGCTAGAACCTGAATTCTCAACCTGAGGGTTCAGGGAACGACCTGGAAGTAATGAAGATCTAAAAATAAACACTAAATGTTTGAAAATCATTTTCTCTATGGTGGCACTTTTTATGCCTTAGTATGGGATGGAAAAAAATGGCGTGGCATGCAATGTGTTAATCTGCAATGATGTATTTATATTACTTTGCATGATGTGAACAACATCGGTTGTTACTAAAAATAAAAATAAATTTAAAAAAAACATTTTAGAAAACATTTATTTGGCATATTGAAATACTATCACAAAATAATTTTGACATTAAACCATAATGATGACCTATCAATTTTAAGTCGTAGAATAACCATCACAAATAAATTATTTTCTATGATTTATCAGATAATCGTCTTGATATAACTAGATATGAATGCAAAATAGGGAGATTTTGTTTTAATTTCATATTTTAATAGCTTTTGATAAACATTTCATACATAAATATTCCTGGGTTTAAAAAATGACCTGCTTTTTAAGCAGTTGCCAGCAACCTTTTCTGAACCACAGATCTTGTAAACAGTATCACGTGTATTATCTATGATTTTTCATTTGTTTTAGTTTTCTTTTATCGATTTTCATGATAAAACTTTTTAAAAAAAAGAAAAACATTAAAGATATACATCTGTGGTAAAAAAATTAAAAAACCTCAAAAATTCAAATAAGAAATTCAAATTGAATTACTCATTTTGGAAAGATCAAAATAAGTTTCAGACACAAAGTGAAACAATACATTATGCAGGTATTTTACAGCCCCTACTCTCGAAGCCTTCAAATGAGGACTGATCAAAATTGCTAAGGTCTCCCTCCATTTAATAATAGTAATAACTAGAGGGCGCTCAGAGAGTGCATACCTCCATCCACATCATAATTCTCCTCAGTAGTATATTTTCCCCGCATATTGTCCCCATAAAAATAAAAAATGGGAAAAAAAACCAAAACAAAAGTAGACTCCTTAGGATTTGAACCCGGGCTGGTAGTATGGAAAACACTCTTCTATCCACAACACTTGTTTTCACATATTACTTTGAAATTAATGGGTATGTTTGTTTGTTTACACTTTACCGACAAGCCTGTACAAGCACACACACACGTCTATACGGCAAACAAGTTCTACAAGTTTTTCGATCATTGTGTCCTTTACCTTTGACCCTGACCCTTCGAAATTTAGTCACTTCCAGATCTTTGTGGCCAAGTTTCTGCAAAAAAAAAAAATCATTTTTTTGTTGATTGTGACCTCTTGCCCTTCAACATTCAAATACTGAGATCTTTGGTCATAGAACATTGTGAACAAGTTCGACAAGTTTGTGATTAAAACTATGGGCGGTACACAAATAAATAAAATAATAGTTTTTACATTGATTGTGACCTTGACCTTTGATCCTGACCCTTCAAAATTTGATCAGCTCTAGATCTTAGGTAAAGAAACATTGTGGCCAAGTTTGATGAATTTCTGATAAAGGCTTCAGTTTGAAAAAGGAAAACAGTCTATTTTTTCGCAATTGGTGCTTATCAATTTATCGGAATGTTTTAAAATGGTACATACTGTATGCATTAATTTCTGCAATAATAGTTTCTCGATGTTACATCAAGGTATTTTGTAATTAATGTACTTTCGATGAGGCAATGTGACATCTTGATTAAACACCACAGTGCTTATTTGAAAGCGGCGCTTAGGGGAAAAAATTATATTTGGTGCGGCATTTAATCTAAAGAAACACTTAATCGATATAAGTGCTTGTTTGATAATTTATGGTAATCAATAAAAAATTAATGTTAATTGAGGCAGAAAGAAATTTGTTTCTCGTCCATCTATTTTGAAAGGATAATGTTCATTTCAAATCCCACCTCCCTCTCTCTCCCCTCCCTCCTTTTATTTTTCCACAAAGGTGGTTTTGGGTTCATAGTTTATTTCCTTGATTTTTTCTTAGTACAGTAAGTTGTAAGCAGCTCAAGGTTATATCAATGTAAAGTACTATATTAATCTCAAATAATAACTATAGTCATTACTGTATATAGGCTTTGCTAGGCATAGACAACACACAGATATTCATATCTTATCATCATGAATGGATTTGTGTAGGTTTTTAGGTTTTGTTTTTTTTTTGCTTAGTGAAAGTTTTAAAAAAGTGGTATTTTTTTTTCTAACCACGGAGTGTGCCAAAGTGTTAGGCCTGCAGGTCTCCCCCTAATTAAAAGATCCCTCCAATTAAAGACCATTTTCCTGTGGTCCCAAATTACCAAATGTGTTTTATCTTATTATTATTCTAATTAGAGACCAAAGCTGCTAAAGACAATGGAAACCCAGATCCCACTAGTGGTCTTTAATTTATTTAATTTACTGTATTTAATTTCTTTATACTGGAGAACCTATTCAGTAGGAAATCTACTGTTCTCCCACATTGGAAGGAGACCTATACTTGAGTTTAAAGAGAAGTAGTGAGCCTCTTGAAATTTTGGCATTTCTAATTTCATTATATTTATTAGCTATCAAATGCTTACTTCCATCTTCAGTCTAAAATATTTGGACAGAACTATGGAATTTATGACTTGTCTTTTGAAGAATGTTCTGTAACAATAAACCGTAGCCTGAAACCAAAGATTAATTATTTTGAAATCTCCTACAAGTGTAAGTGGTCTCGCAAATTAAGGTATTTAAAAATAAACTATCATGTACACTGTCTGGTTTACTATACTTAAAATATTCTGTCACACAGCATTGGGAGGACATTGTGGTATATTATTGTTATGGATAAGTATAAAACAATATAGCAGTATAAAAATGTCATATCCTCCCCTTGGTAAAGGCTTCTTTCTCCCCATCCTAAAACAGAGATTACAAGTTAAACAAATTTTCAGGCAAGAGACTTTTGGAAACCATGCACCATTTTTACTGATGCTCATTAAAATTTATATAACAGTAAGATACCATGGTGTCATGAGATAGATGAGAAACTACATATAAAAAAAAATAGGTTGATCAGAGCTGAATTAGTTGCGCGGAATTGTTTACTGGACCGAGTTGTCTGATATTTTGGGCTGAGTAAATTTGAGCCGAGTTTATTTTGATCTGAAGTACACTGACATTTACAAAACCAATCCTATTTTAAGTACTGTAGATGAAGAATGTTTAGTAAAGAGCTACAAAAGTCAGTATTAATAGAATACATTTTTAAATATAGCAATACATTTATGCACAATATTTTGTTCCTTAAGTGTGAGACTGTGAGAAAAACTGCAAATGCGCAAGTCCCACTTGGTGGGTGTGCTAAAAAATGGATGGAATGCTTAGGCAGCAAAATTAAAAACATAAAGGTAGAAAATACTACTTGAGACAGACGAAGCTGAAATGATGTTACTGCTTAACAAATTGAAGTGTCCGGCTCAGGTCAAGGTTACATTAACATCTAAATGAAAATTAAATAGGATGAGATAAATCCATTTAGACAAATTACATTACTTTACCACAGCCCCTAATACTCTGGCACTAACAGTAAAATTTACCATAACCTTATGAACATAAACAAAAATTAATAAGTAGATTTTAATTATATATATATATATATAAATATGTCTATAATGACTATATAGAAGCAATAGACTTGCGGACTCTGGTCAGATGGTATTAATTAATTTAATTATAATTATCTTATATAACTTTTTAAAAAAACAAGCAGTAAAATTTTGCCTAGGCTCAGTGTTTGTATTTTTTCTTATTTCGTTCTTATTTTATACATTTTTCAAAGATAAACAATTATTATTGTACAGCAACCGCACAGGACCCCTCTGGAAATAAGATTGTTTTACGAAATCTTTTGTGGACTATCCTTGGTTCCGCTGTTTTTTATATTACTTGTTCTTGACTTTTATTGTAACCGAATCAACTCTTCTCCTGTTTGTATAGATTTTGTATCTGTTTTAATATTTTTTTTGTTTTGCCTCTTTTATCACTGTATTTTATCTGTATGTATGTTTATTGGAACCAAATAAATTCAAATCAAATCAAATCAATATATTACTGTACTGTATTATAGACACAGGTACTTCATTTTACATTTTACAGCCTCGGTTTTTTAATTTATGTTAATCTAAATAAGTGTAAGTCACAAACTGAACAATCATCATTATCTGTGCTTTCTTTTTGGTTGGTTTTCAGGGCCTAAAATATGTACCAAGCCATCCTCAGAGTTCTGTGATCTTCTGGCTGGCCTCTTGGATAAAGATCCCACTTCAAGGTAATGTGTTTTCATTACTTATATTTTTTAATTTCTTGTATATAATAATAACAATGATAAAGGCATTGTAGTGGAATTAAAGTTTTTAGATGTTTTTGAAGCTAATAATAACTTTATTTTTTGTACCTTGTTTATCAACTTTGTGGAAAAGAAACCTCACTAGGATCAGATTTTGTTTTTAATTATAAAGTAATCTCGTATCTTGTATCTCGCAAAGATAATGATAATGAAATAATAATAAAAATGATTTAATGTAATGTAAAGGTTAATAAAAACGATAACATTGGAAATAGCAACTGGACTCTTTGACCACTCAGAATTTCATAACTGTGCTAATGGGCTCTCTTTGTTTTTATCGTGCTATATCAACTGTCATTAATTTCTCATATTCGCTTCTCCATTTTGGACCAAACTACCTCCATCATTGCTATCACTAAGAAACCTGAGATAGCTAGACTTATTGATGAAAGGCCATTATAGCAATACACATAAGATATATAGAGAAAATTATTAAACAATCCATCCCTAACGAGTTTGGTCCATTTTTAGATTCCTTGTCATTCACGTATCGTGGCAGGTGAGATGTCAATGATGCGCTTTAAGATGCGCTTTAAGCATCCTACTTCACAAAGTCTACGTCAACATAGCTAAATCACTAGCGTGTATTATAGGCCCATGTAATACACACCACCTAACCCCATCAAAACAAGGAAAAGTCTGTATTGACAGTCAACAAATTTGTTATTGTCTTCCCATATTAATACACTTAACTTATCCTCACTCTTCCTCCCCTCTCCTATCACAGCAAGAAAAATTCAATATTGTTCAGACAGTTGAGAAATTTGTTATTGTCTTTAATATAATTATAAATAATAATTAATAATGATGATAATAATATTATATGGAAAAAATATGTAGAGATCAGATGAACTTTGATTGTCGTCATAGTGAACATGGAATTTTGGAGCTTGACGTAATCAAAATTATATACAATAAAAATATAATAATTAAATAGAACATAGGATATAATTATACACATGGGATCCATAAAAGTGCATTGATTTCCGTGCCTAATTAAATTCAATACATTTTATGCCCCTGTGGACTTGTCCTTTTCTTACTGCTGTCTTCTGTACCAAAACCTTTCATATTGACACAGATTTTTTTTCAAAGTCATCCATGAATCGGTTTTTTCAAGAAACACTAATTATTTTTTTTTAAAAGCAGTGTCTTCTTGCTACACCAGTTACGAATTCTGATTGGATGTCATTGTGTGTTTGAATTTGATTAGGACAATAACGTCCAATCAGAATTCAGAATTTGTTTATGATTGGTATTTTTCATTTCATTTATTTGTCTCATCAGAAAGGATAGACAAAGGGCAGACAAAAGGAGGCTGGTTCCCCACAAAGAGATACTAAATCAATAAAACAATAAAAATGCAATAACATCATTAACAATGTAATAACAATAATCATTGCCTTAGAAGTGTTGTTTTTAAAAATACTGTATTCACAATCTCAGTTTTTCAAATTTGTGGAAAGAATTTAAAAATCCAAAACATGTAAACATTACTTGAACTGTGATTGACCGGGGAAGGCATTTAAAAACTGAGGAGAAACCTTATTATCAACAGAAGTATACATTGTTGATATTATACTCATTATATTCATTTATTGCTTTCGTCGTTCAAATGATTCGTGAGTCGTCTATTTGGGTTTCATCCCGACAAAGTCAGTAGTATTTGAGAATAATCTTACTGTTAAATTGATTATCAACAATATAGTGAATTTTGTTGCCAGAAAATTAAATGCGTTCTTCCAATTTTGATTGAGAGGCTACACCGCAATAAGTTTGTGTTTGCTGGCATGAGAGAAATGTTATTATCTATAAAATGTTTAAATCCAAATATTTGTTGAATTGGTCCATCAAAGGGATGAATCACCAACTTTATAATGTCATTGAACTTTCTGAATAGAACTTTATGTTACCATGGCGATGAAAGATTGTTGTCATGTTTACAGTTAATGCAGCTTACAAACAAATTATATAACAATTTGAATTATTCTAAAATCTTGAATTAAATTTTAATAGATAATATTAATAATTTGCATGATGAGAGAAAACTTGTCTATTATAGCAGATATTTTAGGACTAAAAATTATCATGGTTGGAGGTCGTTCACTTTTTAATGCACTTTTATCTTTCTTTGAATGAATGATTTCAACACCTTCAATTCCTTTTGCATGCTGCAAAACTTCCAAATTTTCTTCTGTGGAGTCATTGGCCAATGAAAATGTGCTCTTCCTCAGGATGTTAGAGAGCTACCTTCTTTTCTTTGCCATTTTCAATACTGAGTGTTTTCTAAGATAATAAATCAATCATTCAAAGAGGAGAGAGTACAAAATCGTTTGTTCAGGCTAATTACCTTTTCTCTTTCCTGGAAAATGGTATATCTTGAATGCCAAATAACTATTATTATTATTGTTGTTGAATTGTTGTTGTTGTTTATTATTATTGTTGCTATTAATTTTGTTTATATTGTCATTTTACTGTTTTGCCATCTTTATGTTTATTACGTCAGATATTTCTTATATTATTATTCCTATTGTAAGTCTTGTTATGTAAGGTGGTTTTGAAAAGTGATCTAACTAAAACGTAAAGCCTATGTCCAACCAGATTGTATCTTCTCTTTGCCTTTATACTTTACCATAAAATAACATAGGCAGTGATAACGTGCCTATGCCTGGTCATCTCTCTAAGCTACTATCTAATTGCTCCTTTTGGCCTTTTACTCGCACTGGCACTAAATTGGAAAGAAAGAACTACTTTCTTCAACTTATGAGTGGTCGTATTATGCACAAGGAAGACCATGCTGTAGGCTGGTTGAATTTCTTAAAGGAGAACATTATCGAAATGTGGGCCAACGAGAAACGCGTAAACAACACCTAGGTGTAGTTAATGACAAGAAAATTGCAATCTAATGCTGCGTAGTTCAGGAGCTACAGTTTCAACCATAAGTGACCAAAGTAGAGGACGCGAGGGCAGAATTTAAATAGGATAGCGGCCGTAGCATATGGTGCATATCACCGCACGTGCAATGCTAAGAGCTTGTAATTCCACACACATGATAATCAGGAAATTCTACTTTACCTGGATGGAGACGGGAAGATCGAGATTACAGAAGAATTTCTGAGATTAATTTCATCATAAATGTGATTGATCCATAAATATATGATTAGGATTTTGAAATTTAATTAACTTGTTTTTTCAAAAAAAGGTTTATTAATAGGAAACATATTTTAATTCAATTATGTAAATGTAAATTATTAATTTTAATAATATTTAATTAAAATACTAAATACAGAGTAATAACAAACAATAAAATTCAACAACTTGATAAAACATTTTAAAAATTTGTTTGTGTCAAAATTAAGAAAACAATGGCGCGGCTGTCTCATGGTTAATTAACGCAACTTTTTTTTTTTTTTTTGGGGCGATAACAATTTGAAAATAGAGTAGGCCTACATGAAACTAGTATTAGTTAAATTGAAATCATTCTACAAAAAAGAAAAACAAAAAAAAAACATCCCCCCCACCCATGAAATTACACATTACCTAAAAACATAAGATTCTTCTTGAAGACCATTATTGTTTTGATGTGTTGATGTTTTAAAAAAAATCATTTCATGATTTAGTATGGTATCAAACAACCCAGGTTACATTCCTTTCTTCTAGAGGGCGCTATGACATTTAATCTGGGGACCAGCCTTCCACAAGTAGATACCACTTATTAAATAGTCGGATGCAATAATTCATCATGAATAGAAATTGAAGAAATACAAATAAAGTTTGAAATATAGAATTTAAAACTTTAAATAATAAAAAGTGCTCAGAAGTTAAAATACTGTATTTATTCGAATGAGCACCCCATTGAGAAGGTTTTTTAAGGGCGCATTTATTCGAGTAGGTGTTTATTTTTTTTGGGTGTTACATATATGCTCAAATAAACACCTTAATTTCACTGTAAATGTGGAACTAAAACACATTACCGTCAAAATGATTATTGATCCCAACAAGGTTAGAAAAAAATTGTAATTCTACTGGAATAGAAAATTAATAGAATGTGTTGGGAATGATGTTTCTTCCATTTGTTTTATAATCATCTCAGGGTGTTTATGTGAGGGTGACATTTATTCCAAATGAGGCTCTAAACAGGGCGTTTATTCAAAGTGGGACTTTTATTCATATGTATCCAGTAGTTGAATAAATTATAGACCTAAATCCATAATAGAGGGATTTAGCGATGATTGTTTACAGGCGGTCACGTGACCTAACTAGGGTATACATGAAAAAGGCAATACGATTGTTCAAAATAGTGTTTATTTCCTTATCCTAGCATTCTCCTTGGAATGCCTTGAAGTTTAAGTGATCCTTCATTAAACCTTGGCTGGCCCTAACGTCGCGGCCTGACGACCATCATGCATACCCAACCATGCCGTAGATGTGCAGGGGCCTAGGCCTATCATTTGTTGAAAAATCTCAATGTTTGCGGCCAGTATCCTTTACAGCATTAGCAAAACTATTTAAGGCAAAATTCTTAAGTTTAGTTTCTAATCAATTTTGTATAGTTTACTGGGAATTATGATGATATTTACAGCAATAAACAAGGGACGGCCTCATTAGTAATCTTCATGTAAAACACCACTGTGTCAGTGGATTGTTTATATCCAACACCCAAGTTAGGTCATGTGACGCCCATCGCCAAACCCCTTTATTGTCTGCAATTGTCTGTAGTCCCTTAAAAACTATCACTTAAAATTTTTCGTACAAAGAAAGAATATTCAATGAGACATTGATTTTGTTTTAGTATTTAAAAGAGTTAGAGCTCTAAATACAGTATTGACAAATTTTGTTTTCAAGGAATGCCACAACCAACGTACTTGAAACATCGATTTGTTTTCAGTGTTCATTACTTCTAGGATGTATTCTTATGTTGTTTTGAGTCTGTAATTGGCGTGTGTACTATTCTTATTCTGAATGGTGCATTGAACTTGTAGGATCTCCTGGTAATATAAATTTCTAACTAGCCACTGGGAATCGACTCCATGAATGTACCACAATAGATAATGTGTAAGCCTTTTGTTCCCACAGTAGTCTATGTGGCTCAAATAACAAGGCATGCTATCCATATTGTGTAACATAATCGCAGTGAATCGTGCATATGCTTGATGAGGAGTTATTTCCGCACTTTTTTTCTTTTCCGATTCTGAGCCAAAAATGTCATCATTTGTCAAGGGTTTGTATAGGCATGTTGTGGCCAAAACAGGATGCATATAGAATAATGATATCTAATATTGTGAGTGGAAAGGAAATAAGAGAGTCCATAGGATACTGGTGCAATTAGGAGGTAGCTTAGAGAGATGACCAGGCAAAGGTTTGTTGTCGTTGCCTATAACGTTCTTGCCATGGTGCAACATCCTTGCCATTCACCTACTTTCGATACCCATGTCCTATTCTAATGATCCATGTCCTCCTCCCCAATGTTCAGTGTTGCCGCCCAATAGCTAATTACTCATTCTGATGTCAGTTGTCCCCTCCCAATGTACCATTCCCCTTCCCTTTCCTCCTGTACTTGATATCTAACTTTCGTAACTATTTTCCAATCGCCTTCCATAACCTCACTTTATGGCCGATGTTCCCTCCCAGTTATCTGTCTCCTATTTGTCGTCCTGGTGCCTTATTTCTGCTCCTATCTTTGTTCTCTTGCGATTTCCCATATTTTCTAATATCTACGTCTTGTACATAATGTTTCTACTTCCTTGGATACCCAGCAGTTATACTTTATTGATGATGGATCATTCTAATCTAATTAATCATGCATGGCACACTTTGAAAACAATTACTGACTTTTATTTTTATTTTAATTAATTCAATCAACCAGTCAATCAACAGATATTGATAGAGAGATTTGCAGTTTTATTGCATTCTGATACATGTTCTTCTGCAAGTGAAAGCCCATCATATATCCTCAAGAGATTATTGGATCCTTGTCCCCGTATCCTGTCCCATCACCCAGATGTGTCTGGCCTTGAGAAAATCTGCAGTTTTTGTAACATGTGTTAATTTAGTGACTTGCATTTTGACGTTTTAGAGAGATATTTCAAAATAGGAACTATGCTATGTATTGAGACATTGGAGATTGTGGATTTGGCTCATTTCGGAAATACAAGGTGGCGAATTGCATTGCATTTAATACACAACAACTTGTCAAGTGTGTATGTTCATTATTATAATAGTCTTGAAGTATGACCACTTAGTAGCAAAATGAACATTAAATAGTTATTATGCATATGTAAGAATTACCTGTAAAACCAATTTAATAAAGATGTTTAATTCAGTTTAAAATATTAAAACACTTTTGCAATGAGTTTAAATAGATATCTGTTATTAATTTTTAAATGCTATTGTTCCACACAGAATGGACTGGAATCGTATGGTAGAGCATCCATTTTGGAAGGGTCAGCTGGTACCTGGTGGCCAATCACAGCCACTTCAAGAGGTAACCAATCAAGAACCAGTAAGCTTGAGTGATGCAAATGAGGTCACAGGACAGGTCACACCAGCAGTCTTAAAGGTAGAAAAATTATTCATAATATTAGGGAAAAAATAGAGTTAAATATTATAAAGAAATCTATAGTTGTCTAGTTCCTCTGGTATGAGCTCCCTCTCCTTGAACATAAACTTCCGCCAGTTTTTTTGGCGTGGGCTTAATAATTAAGGTTAATTTTTCGTGTGATCTCTGTGACTCTTGTTTGTTCTCTCCTGTTGTTCTTTTTTGACACTGAGCCTTGAGCACCTATTTTGGTAGAGATGTTTGCGCTATAAAAGTCGCTATTATTATTAATGTTATTAATAATAATTATGGTCATTTATATAACACCTTTTCCTTGTGGTTACAAAGTGCTTTATAAATAAAGATTAATCTGCTTAAAAGTACAGGTTATTCAACTATTATACTTAGGGAATCCCCATTTTTTATCAAATGGCAATTTTTGGGCACTGTAATGCCTAATTCAAAGTCAATATTCAATGTTTTTTATGAGAACATTTATAAATGTCTTACCCTGGGCTTTTGCCTGACAAAAGGCTAGTACACACGAACCTAAAACAATGAAGCCAAGCGTCCACTAATTGAAAAATTGTTGGACTGTGGGGAATAGACAAATAACATTGGGAGTTGCAGTGATGACATCATGATTGACTTATAATACCAATTAGAGTTCATTTGCAATTATCTGGAATGTAAAATAATGATGTCACAATTATTTATAAAATTATTATATTGAAAATTGGTTAAAGTTTGTGTAATTGTAAAACAAGCAAATATTTTCCTTCAGAAAGTGAACCTCGTGGCTCTGACACCAGATGTAGGCTCAAAAGAAAACCTGCGAAAGTCCAGCCCTAGTGTGGTTCTGAACACCTCCTTACAAGGTGGTAAAATACCTGCAAGGCCTCAGACTTCTCCGGAGATCACCTTGACCAAGCAAGCCCAGTTCACGCTGAGGTATGTCATCATTGTCCTATTTGTAAAAAACAGTGGTGTGAAAAGATCGTAATGTGTTTTTGTTTTCACACTGCTTGGAAAAAATTTGACGTCAAGGCACGCAAAGAGAAAAAGATCATCATCAAAAAATACATGATAGTGTTGATGATGATATTAAAGATATGATGAGGCCAGGTATGTCATCGTCGTTCTATTTGTGAACAACGGTGTGAATAGATGTGGAGAGGTTCTTTTCCACACCACTTGAAAAGTATTTAAAATAAAGTCATGCAGAGGGTACAAGAGCATCATAGAGAAAAACATGATGATAGCCACGATGACAATAATAGTGTGGATGATGATAAGTCCAAAAATATGCTTGTACTACTCAACCAAATAATAGTCTGTAAGATCTATGGTAAGGTAAATTTTAATTGAAAGAAGGAATACCAGACAGCTTGACAGTTTCAAACTACCAACTATAAGTGATGCTATACAACACGACCGCCTGAGATGTTGTGGGCATGTTGAAAGAATGAATGACGATAACTGGGTCAAGAAATGTAGGGTCATGTAAGTTGAGGGGAGCAAAGGTAGAGGAAGGCCTAGAAAGACTTGGGAGCATGTTGTTGCCAGTGATCTCCGTACGCTAAGGATAAGCTGTGCAACTGCACAGAATAGAAGTGACTGGAGGAAAGCTATCATGGTGAACAGTCCAACTCGTACTAGCATGGATAAATTATGGACTTTAAATTGATGATGATGATGACGATGATGATGATGATGAGTCTATATTGTACTTATCTTTTAAAGCTTTGATTAAGTAATTTTATGTCTTAATGGGTTTTAGAGCATCGGTTATAATTTTGCACAACAAAATGTATGGGATGAATGATGGTTCCATATGAAAATAATACTAATCTCCCATTTGCTCTCCATCTCCCATTCTGTCATCATCTTCATCATCTTCTGGTACTGCGCATCACCACTAATAATAGATCATACTAGCATAACGCTAAATGGTAGGTATCGCTGCTCGAAGATGTGTTATCTTTTCTTTCCCCTAATCTTTTTTACAATCATTTAGCTTCCATTCCTTGACCTTCCTCTTAGCTTTTCTTTCTCTCATTTATTCATCTCTTTTTTCTGTTACTCTCTCTCATTCTCTCATTGCCTCCTATCATTCCCATTTCATTTCTTATTTCACTTTTACATCCCATATTCATAGTCCATTCAATCAAATTTCAACATAAATATATTCCAACAGTACTAGGCCAAGGAGTTCCATGAATACTCTGGAGGACGATGACAATGACAACACATCAAAATCTACAAGGAAACTGGCAAGGAAGAGCAAAATCAAAAGCAAGCCTGACAGAATGGGAGGAAAGTACCGAGGAGAACCACGGAAGCAATGGGAGGAAGATGGGAACGTAACCAAGGAGTTGATGTACCAGGTTTGGGATCTAACAGTTACACCCATAGTAGACAACCCTAAGGTATGTATGATCAATGGATTAAATAGATTGATAGTAATTCATAAATAAAGTTTTATGCACTCCAAAGCTCTATACATACTATCAGATTTTATTTGACAAAAAACTGTTGTATGCCCATATATAGTCATGATGTGCCTATATATGGTCATGATGTGATGTCATCATGACCATATTTAGGCATGTCACATGTTTTTGTCAGTAGAATTTGATAGTCTTGACACGACTTAACAAATTAAGTTAACTTCATTTGAAAACCTCATTTATTAGGGGCAGCTTACTCTAACTGAGTTACAGTAGAATATTTGCTTAAATTGACCCTGACCATGTTATTAACCCTTATCATGCTGAAAATCACTGGTGCGTGACATTCTGGCATGCCAATTTACTTTTACAAAACTATATAATTACACAGCAGAAATTAGTATCTCTCTTTAAATGAAATTTTCACATATTTCTTGAACCCTAAACAAAAAACTATTTATAAAAAAAATAATCCTCATAGAACATATATTCCATATGTGATACTGGTTTGTAAAAAAAAATTGTTTTACAATCAGGGAAATGTTCCGTTTCCGCATTCCAATTTGGCCTATTTCTTTGTATAGGCTAGGCCTAACTTCGTCTAGGCCTAGGCTAGGCCCTAGTCCTACCTCGTCCCCGCTGCACCACCGGTGATATTAGCTTCTTCCCCATCATAACCATCACTCTCATCACTCTCACTAGCCTACAGAAACACAATTATAATTCCACAAAAATGTTCCTGGTCTCTATCCACACTATTATCATCAAAAACATCGTGTATGGCCGTTCCACAGTATATCGCTGCTGCGCGGCCACACTGGACCTTTCAAAAATAAGTTGACATTTTTGTTTGATTTATAAAATATTTTTCAATAAAAGTTGTCAAGATTTTTGTTTATTCAAGAAGTTCAAAGTGTAAGTAACCCGGATGCAAAAACAAATGAGCATCATAATGATATATAGACAGTATAGAGGGCGAAATCCACATATACTTGGATGTGTCGCACTAGTGGGCCTAGGGCATTCAACGGTAAATTTTTCGCTGTCGCACTATTGCGCCTAAGACACGATAAGGGTTAAGTATTTTTATGTTGATGTCTAATACATAAATAGAGTGATATTCATTCTTTTTGTTGCCCGGTTAAAATGCAAACATCCTGAGATGCCCATTCTTGTGATAGGCTGTTATGTAGTGCACTAAACTCATTCATTTTGTATATCAGAATACAAATAACAAGGTGTTCTACAGTATAAGACTATAGGTAACAAGATGTACTATTTAATAATGATTATCAGATTTTGAAGCCTGCACCTCTCAAATATGAAGCCAAGTCCCTTCCACATACCTGTCACTCACCAGAAAGATGCCTAAAACTCAGTAAGCGAGAGCTGAATGAGCACTTCAGCTCCGTCTATGATGCACTCGTGAAGGAAAATGACAAATCTGCTGGAGGTCAGAGGTTAAAGGTCCAAATGCTTAATTACCTTGGCAGCCTAGCTTCAAATGCCGACCTAGCTCAAGAAATACTCAAATCAAAACTGGTATGTTATTTTCTAGTTCATGATCAACAATTTTATGATTGTGTATAGTTCTTGTTTGTATAGTCTGCCATTTTGCATCCTCAATATTTCATCATACTGTTAACAGAGCATTGAATAAGTTTGTACAATTTATTGTACACTTAAAAACTAATAATTATTTAAGCTATTATTATATTCTATAGACTGTATGTCGAAAATTTAGGAATCCACTCATTGCATTAAACATGGAATTGTGCATTTACTTGTATATTATGAGCTTATAAAACACAGACCAAAACAATACAGTTTTCGCTCATTTCCAGAAAAATAAGTGTTTTCAGCTAAAACATATAGGGACATTATTGTTTATGCATCTATTTGTTCTTATATGAAGTAAGTAATTCTATTTTTCAAGTTTCAAACTCATATCTGATTTCTTCAATATGTCTGTTTCTTCATATATAAACTGTTATTTGTACATTATATTTAATCTTTACAGAGAGTTTTATTACAGCAACTTCTGAAAGCAAACAATGCATTGGAAATGTAAGTATATTTCAATAGGATATATAATATTTGTGATTACAAATGGCATTATATTAATGTGTGAAAATTAATTTAAGATAAATAAAAGTATTATTTAAGCAAACGCAAGTACATTTTGCTTCAACGTCATAGCAGGGTGTTCATGTTTGTTCCTCTAAAAAAGTGAAACAAAAGTAACTAGAAGCATATAATATAGAAATTGCCAGACTTATGAATAAGCTAGGTAACTCCCACACAATCAAAATCACAGACATAAATCCTGCTTGTTTTATCCAATTACCTTTCTGTCACTTTATTTTCCATTAGTTTGAAGAAAATTTATGAAAAATTGAAAGTATTGTAACTATTACTTACAAAGTCAGATTTGGTTCTTTTTAGATTTATTTCTCCCTAAACAAAACAAAAAATTGATGGCTATAAAAGAACATTTGGGCAAAAAAATAGATTTCTATCTCTTTTAATATGATTAAGTATGTTTGAAGATTATCGTTATCCTAAGACTGTAGGTTACCATAGAAACAGCATGCACAAAATATTACACGTCACTCAAAGAACTATATGAATAAATTCTGAAGTTTTCAATATATATTCTTAGAAATTAAGTGACCATCTGACTATTCTTTGAAACAAAAATCATTTCTTCTGCCAAGACTTTACTTCACCATCATTTTCCTATTCTGAGAATAACCTAAATTATTTAGATCGCTTGGGAAATTTCCATTTTATGTTTTCTTTTAACACATTTAAATTCTCATGAATTAGGCTTCAAATCACCTTAAGGAGTAGTTAGCCTGGATTCGTTATGATGCAGTTTACAATTTTTCATTTGGATGTGAAGTTGTGAAGTAAAGTACTTTGAGACATGGGTGTTGACATACATAATGCATACATAGGAACTTAAAAATTAATATATCACTTCGAGGCAGTAGCAGGCTATCAATTCTAATGTAATACAATTGTCTCCCACTCTAAAATTTTTTTTGGTGAAGATATACTATCTGGGGGAAATTACAGGGAAAAATTATTCAAGATCAGAATAAAATTTGTTTGTTATCACGGAAATTACATTGGTTGTTCACAGCTCCGAACAACATTCATACATACAATAAATAAAGTTATGACATTCATACATACATATAAATACAAAGATATATAACCCACTTCTATCAAATCCAATCAAATATTTCTTTATTTCCATACAATGCAGTAATAAAAAGACAGTATAATATAATTGAAGTAAAGAAATTGCATGGAAGGATGCTACAATTAGTTCTGCATGAACAACTAACAGATCTTTAGGACGTATCCACCTTTGGGTTGGAAAGTTGGAAAAATGGTTGGCCATCTAGAGGTGCCTAATCTTAATTTCCTTACCTCAGCTCAACCATGGTGGGACTGAGGTGGTCTAGATCCTCTGTCTCTGAAAGGTCCCCCCCTCCCCGAGTCCCCTCTATTTTGAATTCCTGGATTCGCCACTGATTAAGATGTTAGTGTCTGGTTTCGTACCATCAAGCTGCTCTCTGACATTTAAGACATTGTTTCTACATGTAACATTTCCCATGAGCACTTTAAAGAATGCACTACAATCTTCATAAAGAGTTGGGGAATTTGATCTTCCTGGTTTACTGTTGAATGGATCTGTCAATCAAACATCAACAGACCAATCAGAGGAGGACCAGGCATATGTGTTTATCTGCGCATATTTATGTGCATTTTAATACGGTGTTGTTTTGTGAGACCTCAGTAACAACATCCAATGGGGCTGAGCTTAATGGATTCACCTACTGTACAAGAGTATTGCTGCACTGTAGGTGCTCTGATTCCTGAAGGACCCAACCCAAATTTTCTAGTCACTGAAATAGGGCCTATGAATTACATATACTTACTTCATAACATCTGTCGTCTCTGTCTACTTTAATTGATTTAAAGGTCATTCTATACATTTGATCAAGGCTAAAAGCACATGTTTTTTGGGGAGGAGGATGAGACAAAAACATATTAAACAAAGTTGAATGTTATGGTCAACCCAGAGCTTGGGGAAACATTCCAGTTGTAAACATTGAGCATAATTCCATTTGTCAGGGAAAAGAGAAGTGAAATTTCCAACAATCAGACGGACTGTCTCCTGGAAATGCGTTATTAAATTATATTGCAAAAGGGATGAGGGGGGAAAGATCCATGTTCAAGTATTTGACATTTAAATATGAATAAAAAAAACAATCAAACTTTAGATTGTTGTTTGAAGGAGGTACATTGTAAATTCTTATTGATAAAATCTTTTAGCAATGTAAAAATGAAAATATATTATTACAGAATACAAATAACTGTTCATTTATATTTAGTTTTAAAAATTGTTAAACAATAAATAGTAATAAATATTATTATGGATTTTAATAAACATTAATTACTTTTAAAGTTATACTCAGTTTTTTGCCTGCATGCTGTGTAGATTCCTTTTTTATTACTTAGTCATTATCCAGGCCTACTCACACTCAACACACACTTGTTTACCACCTACCATCTTCATTATATATTATAAACACTCATTCTGTATTGACAGTAATAATTCCCTAGTCACACCCAGTCAGTAACCTTTGAACTTCTTCTCATTTTGTTACCTGACAAAACCTATTAAACACCTACAAACTATCGAGCCTTCCCGCGACATCAAAAGAATCGCTGATTGATGAACTCAGAATGTTCAGGAATAGTCTGGAAAAGAATGCCAGCAAATATTTGTACGAAGAGTGCGGTGACTCTCATTCCTACGGGAATGGCATTAATGAAATAAGTGTAGTGTGTTCGTTGGCAACTTGCGTTGGTTTTTGTGCTATAACATGTTTTGACTATAGTTACTGTTAAGGTGGCTCAAGGGAATTTGACAACTTCCATTTATTCCTCGCTTTCTCTTTTAAATTCAGGAAACATTAAGAAAAGAAATAACATCTCCTAAACAATAATGCACTTCTTAGTTCAACATTATTTGGCACTAATAACCGTGTTTATAAAGATTATATTGACAAAATAACTTATCTTTTTTAACTGCGAATATTATTAAATCTGTATGAATAAGCCTCACTACAGATATTAATTTATGAGGGTTTTTTTTGTCTATATTGTATTTTCTTGATTGTTTTATTTTCTTTTATTTTTATGTGATTGAATTGTAAATTGGTCTGTTTATCGTACTTTTTATGTTTTTCTTTGTAATGTTCTTAATTTATCGTTTATTATGAATATTGTTCTTTTTTATGTTTTCTATACCGTATATTCTTGATCGTCTTAATTGAATGTTTTTTCTATGTGACTGAATTGTAGATTGTCCTTTTTTTATAATGATTTTAATATGTTAATAATTATAGATAATCTTGCCTATGTTTTTAATCATATTTTTTATGTTTCCTACTGTATTTTCTTGATACTTTTAAATTTTTTTTTCTGATGTTTTTAATTTGAATTGTGAATTGGTACTCTAAGGCCCCATAAAAAAAATGTATTAGTTTATCACCCTATCAAAGGATAAAAACTGATGAGGGAGGGAGGTTTTTTTTTAAATTTTTTTAACCGATGTTCACAAGTAAATCAATAGGGACACATATATAAAAACTCATAAGAGTGGAATCAAATTTATATTTAAAAAAGATGTTTTTGTTGTACCAGTAAACATTTGCAAGAAATCCTGAGCTTTTCAAGTGAAAAAAGATGGAGAAAGAACTGTTTGAAATAAAAATTATATATGTTGATTGAAAAAAAAAAAAAAAAAAAAAATCAGATTTTCCCCAAAAGGGATGAAGGAGTGAGTGATAAACTAATAATTTTTTTTATGGGGCCTAATTCAGCTCTTTGGGCTGCTATTGTATGAATGGTTTTTCAATAAAAGAATGAATTGAATTGATTAAGTTTTACTTCTTTTTCTCCTAATGATAGTGCAATTTAATTTTTTCTTTTAACACTCTGACCCGCCAGGGGTTTGAAAAAACAATATCAGCCACCTCCAGACTTTTTAGCAAATTTTAACACTTTTCCGAAGCTCGTTGAGAGTACGTATGTGATCAAATTGACATGTAGTGAATACTACAAGAACTACAAAAATTTAGCTTTACAATGGTACCAAACACTTTATTCTAAGCACAATCTGTGACCCGTAACAGTAAAATGAAAATGACTCACTTTTGGAGATTTACGCAATTTTGCACAACGAAGCTGAGATAATCGCGAATTCGTGAAGGTAAATCAATACCGCTCTACGCAAATGTAAACAAACAAATAGTGAAATACTTACGGTCCAGACTGAATATAGTGTTCAAATTGTTAGTACATGTCGGTAATTACCGCAACTATCGGATTCCGTAAAAAAACCTGAAACATGGAGATCTCCAAGTTTGGCAGTCAAGCGTTGCGCTACCAAAAACGGAGATCTCTGTGTTTGGCAGGCAGAGTATTAAACTTGATTGATTTGGATTTGTTTTTATTTCAGTTCCGTTCAGTAGAATTTTAATAGTAAATTTTAAACCATTCTTCTGGTTACATGCCATATGTTATATTTTTTTTTTACAAATACAGTAGGAATTTATACCTTTTCTTTTAGTTTCATTTGAACTATCTAATTAGTATTTTAAATTTTTAGTCTATAAATATCAAATATTGCAAGTTATATTTATTGTTACCTTTAGGTTGTTTATGTATTCCATAATCCTCCAAGTTGAAATCCATATTATTTTTTGCAAGTTCTTTATTGTATCAAATGTTTATTCTCATCCTTCCCTTTCAGTATTGTTTTACATTTTTAGCTATTATTTACAATTTCAGTGTATCAAATAGTTCTAATACCCTTTTTATCAACTTTTCATATGGTTACTTTAGTCCTTATTTATCAGTTTTCTATAAACTGTTTAGCTATTACTTACAATTTTAGTCAGTATCAAATTTTGTGGTTAATTTTCTTTTATCATTATCTTCATTATCTTCATATTAACTTATGTGTATTGTATTAATCTTCCTACACATTTAGTTTCAAACCATTATTATCTAAGTATTTATAATGGTTTTTAGCATACATAGGAACTTATTAATATATTACTATGAGTGAGGCAGTAGCAGGCTATCAAATCCAATGTAATACAATTGTTTTCCACTTCTTCTTTGGTGAAGATATACTATCTGGGGGAAATTACAGGAAAAATTATCTTGAATCAGAATCGTATTTCATATTAACTTATGTGTATTATACTAATCCTTCTATACCTTTAGTTTCAAACCATATTATCTAAGTGTTTATAATGGTTTTCTAGTCTACCTATCATTTACAATTTTACCTCTAAGCTATCAAATATTGCAGTTTGTTTGAAACTTAATGCATTATATGCAACAACAAAATGTATTGAGTAAGTCGCAGTCCAGACTATAAAATCTTAATTGACAGAAGCATGTGCATGCCCAAATATGGTCATGATGAATTCACATCATGTCCATATATAGGCACATCATGACTATATATGGGCATACAACAGTCAGGACAGGGCTTAACAAGGGCTGAATTTCCTCCTCATCAAGCGATATTATTGTTGACAGCCTTGAGACAGTCTCTGAATTCTATTTTTAGTCTACTTCCTTTAAATCAATGATGTTTATTGTAACATTATGTATTTTTCTGTTTTTTTAACAGTCGGTGTAGAGCAGGGAGAGTACTTGGTTTACTAGCCTTGCATTGTGAAGAACTTGACGAGAATTTACCACTAACAGAGGTCTGTACCTTATGGTATTACTATCAGTGGCATAGCTGAGCAGCCACTTTTTGTTCAAACATTTAAAAAAAACTACTAATATAAGTGCCGCTTTACAGCGGCTAGGTAGTTGCAGAATACAGTGGCGCTGCTTTTTAAGAGTTATTCTCCTACCTTTACTTTTATATATTATTATTTTAAAGATGTACTGTCTGTAGTAAAATAAACAAAAATAATCTGTTTTTGCTGATTTACAAACAATTTAGTAATACATAATTCTTAAATTTATTCCAGGCAATTTAAGAGTCTATGCAAATATATAAACGATATTGATTTTGCACCTGTGAGTTTGCATAGAAAATATATTCTTATAATTTTTAATTGAAAGCAAATATCCTACATTTTATGTCAATGAAATTATTAAATTTATTCCTTAGGTTAATAAGCTTAACATTATCTTTAGTATTATAGTTTTTACCTATCATCACACTCTAAATTTATCATTATTAAACTTTTTTGTGAATAATATTTTTGATATAATTTTCAATATAAATCTAATAATATCAATTAAATTATTTAATATATTGTTTATAATCTCAACACATACCTTTACTATTATTTGAGTCATTTTTATCATAATTTTTTTTTAAGTACTCACTTATGGTGAAATCCTTTGAATGTTAAGTAGTGTTTAATATTTACCTTCTTTTTTTTTGCATCTTCAGCTATTTGCAGCTCTTACTGAAGTTGTACGCGATAACAGTCGTAATAGCAAATTGAAACAAAGTATCTTGCCCGCTTTGGGAGAGCTCCTCTTCCTTGTCGCCAAGCAAGAGGAGCAGAAATCAGCGATGATTGACGCATGGACAGTCCCATCAGTCACGTACACCATCATCACACGCTGTCTCCGAGAAGGAGTAAGTAAACACAATTTTATGAGATTTGAAAATTCAGTTGTGCTTTTTTATATCGTCTCTAGTGTGGCACTGATTGACAGACGTTTACAAAAAAAATCAGCATTCAATTTAATACTTTATTCAGTCTATCATATATTAAAATGCAGTAGAAATTTGTTTTTAAAAGTCTTGTACAGTAATACATTTGAATATATAAGTTATTGACTATGCGGTGTTAAAATACAATTTAAATATGAAAAGTGAAAAGGTTTAAAATACATTTAAAAGCAGCTTATAACATTGATGAAGTACAAGATTAAAAACACTTTAAAGTACAATAAGCCCACCTGTACCTAAAATCAGACAATGAAATATTGTTAGAACATTCCAAGACATCTCAGAAAGTTTTAATACAAACTGAAATTAAAAATTAATTAAAATAAAGTAAAAATGCATAAAGCATACCTGTACCTACATTCTCAATTTATTTTTAGCTGTCCTTTTAATAAATTCTTATTATTTAACCTTGAGGTGGAAGGCTTCATTTTATTTTTAATTTTTTTTTTTTTTTTTTTTTTTTTTTTGTATATATTTTTTTTGTGAAATGCTGGTAGCTATCATTGGATGATCCCTGGATTAGAACTGAAACTGGAGGACTTTTTTTTTTAAGTTTTAGTAGTTGGGATGATATTTACCAGCTTAATTTGTGATAACATTTGTACTTTAAGAACACTTTGTGTTCTAGTTACAAGTTATTTTTTTCTCCTTCAGTAAGTATATTGCTGTGTAGATCATTAACTTAATAATTAGTAATTTGGTCATGTTTGGCACAACAAGTTTCTATTGGTAACAAATCGTCTGACTTTCCAGCGAACTTAATTCAAGGGCTTCGGAGCTTTTCTCACCACTTGTCTTTAATGCGTCTATTCTAAAAAGGAAGTTGTCAGGGTGCTCAACATACTTTTTAAATCACTTCTCTTATCAATCTATTGGATAAACCACCTTGTAATTTGTGCAGCGTGTCAGTAATCATTGTCATGCATGGTCGGTCAGAGTTTCGCAACAAGATAAGTTTCTGTGGAATTCTTCACCAGAGGAAGCACGCCTCTGCACGCTTACCGTGGTGTTGTCACCTCGGCTCAGGCTGCTGCCTCTCTGCTTGTTTTCAAAAACATTGATTGCCTGTTCAAAGCAGATTTAATAATAATAATAATAATAATGTAGTTTTATATAGTGCACATATCCATCTAATATAAGATGCTCAGGGTGCTTGATATGTGGACTAGGAACTCGATCAAAGACTTTCTTCACCTCTAAGGGTCCCTTCGTGTCTGTGCTACCCGGTAACCTGGTACCAGCAACTCTCGTCCACCACAGGGGCTGTCTGTTCCAGTACACTGGGGTATACCCTTACTCGTCTAATTTATTTTTAATAATTATTGCCTTCACTAAGGCAGAAGTAATTTTATTATGAAGCTTTTCAGTTAACAAACAAGTAAAACTGTTAAGCCCACCCTTTCTGAATGTTTGTAATTATGGAAAAATATAGATGGCCTTTTATAGCACTGTATGTTGGCAGAATAAATATTTATTTCCAAGTCAAACACCTAACCATGGACCTATTAATAAGATTATTTATTAATTATTAGTAGGTCCATGACCTAACTATACATTAGTGAGCCAGTTGCTCATTTGCTGTGTTGGATGGCATGGTACCATTAATTAAATAATTCATTCATTCATTCATTAATTCATTCATTCATTCAATTTGTTTCAGAAAAGATTTCCATACAACTAAATAAAATAAATTTACAGTATATTACATTTGAACTATGCAATCCAGGGTAGGATCGTTCAGACCTACTGTAAGGTCCGCAGCTTACATACCCCAAAAATAATTAATTTAATACATAATACATAATATTTTATAATATATATAATAATATTAATTATAACTTAGTCAAATTGTAATACTTCAACAATAGCTATGTGCATACTATTTACTGTAACAATTATCTGATTTGCCAAATGTAGGGAAATGATGAGCTACAGTAATATTGTGCCCATATATTGGCAATATGGTATCAAATCACACCCATATAAGGCCAAATCTTCTGTTTGCTTAATTTAAAAATTACTTAAAGCTCACCTTTTCCATTATTAACATGTACAGGGCCATTGATAATGCACTTTGGTTATTTAAATGACGCTTTATAAATTCCAATACTATTATTATTATTAAATCACAGGTACTGTATAAACAAAGCTCAAATTAGGCAAATATATATGGGCAGATATAAGATTTGAACCAGCGATCTTTAGGGTACTGTTCCAATCCACCATGTCTGTGTTTACTGGCAACTAGGAAGGATCATGTTATAAAAATGATTTGAAAAGTATATATTTACTAATTATAAATATTAGTAATGTTATTTCTGCTTTAAAAAAATTTTTTTTTTTTTTATGATAAAAATATTAACTTTAATTTACCAAGGTAAACAACCCTGTTTACCACCCTACAGTGGCGGCTCTAGGATGTATTTTCTGGGGGGGGGGGAACTTGGGCTCGTAGGCCCGAGCTGGAGGAAGGGTTTGAGAGTGTGTTCCCTCTCTCAAATGAGATTTTTTTAAGGATAGGAACCTCTGGATGGCCAGAAATGACACTCTCTGATTTTGACAGACACGTGTTAGCTTGGCGTGGGCCTATTTTTATATACTTTTTAGTCCAACTGCCCGACAAGCTCTGTCCATTTTGGGGGGGGCCTTGACCTGTCCGGTAGGGGGCTTAAACCCCTGCTTTCCCCCCGCTGGCGGCGCCACTGCCACCCTAATATGTGCTTTTGTATAACTCAGTGTTTAGGCTTCCTATAAAATTTTATTAGGAAAAGGTTGGAGTTATTAGATATTAGTTATTTGAAAAAAATTCTAAATATATATTGTAAAAATTTGTTTATTTCATTTAAATGGAATATTTCATGAAAGTAAGTGCCAAGATGTTTTTTTTTTTAAATGTTAAATGCAATTAGTTTAATGTCCTTGAGTAATACCCTTTCAAAGTTAAATGTCACGTGGATTTCAAACATTTCTTGGACCCATTTCCAAAGTAAGGCTTGAATTCAAGGATTAATTCAAATTAGTTGCAGAGGCTTACCTCGTTCAGCGACATGTTTTGCGTTGTAAGATCAAAAACCTAGAACTGTGGATGCTGTGTGTCCTGTCAAGCAAGCAAAAGTACGACATAAACACTCCCTCTGAAACCGAGCACATTAACGACACTCTCCAATTTCTGCAGTGCATTAAAGCATGTGAAATTCCCAGCATAAGGTGTTGTTTCGTTGCCCGCCGGTCTTTCATCGACAGATTGCTCGAGTTTAATGTGTCAAATAGTTTTTAATAAGATGTTTAACATTCCCTTTGCATTGCTTTGCGTGTAAGAACACATGCCTGGATAGAGCAAGCAATCTGACAGGTTATTAACTCCAACAAGATATAAAGTTTCTTCAGTTTAAATTCAGAAAGAGTGAAGGAGAGAGTAAGACAGAGTTGGGGAGGTAGGAGGGAGGAAAGCATCATAAAGTCTTTATGAAGATAAAGTTGGGTATTAATTTATAATGTTTATAAATATTACTAGTATAATTATTCATATTCCATAAATGTTTTAATATATTTTATTTTTTTAATGTTCCAATTTCAATGTATATTTTGTCAGATTGTTTTCAACGTGTAAATCTGATGTAAAACATGCTGATTGTAAATTCATCCAACTCATCACTACAGTACTTATATTTTATCACTCTTATTAGTGGTTATACTTGTGACTATAAAAGAAAGTGTTGGATTAGCTGGATTTTACTTGTATTTTACTTGTACCTGTCTGGGAAAGAAATTCAATTTTTTTTTCACCCAAAATTTACATTTTAAAAATCTGAATGTGTCATTCTCAGATATCCTTGCATAATCATCCAAAATTTTCTAAAATTGGATTTCTGAAAGTAGGGAATACAATTTTTTGGCTGCCAAACTTATTTCTTTTATACTGTCAACTTTTTATTCTTAAAGGACAAATTATTAATAAAAACATAAATTAAAAGCTCCAAAAAATAAAATTAAAACCATCTCTCCATGATGATGTTTTTATCAAAAGTGAAAGGTAGACCCAGGTACGTTTTCATTAATATTATATTAATTGTTTCCAGTGCACCATAAAAGGAAATTGTGTTACAGACTTTAAGAGTGCGTATAACTTATAACATATTGCAAAATTCGGACTAACCACCTGAATGCTAGTCCTGTCGGAGAAAGCGAAAGTGCCTTAATTAAGAAACAAAACGGTCTATTTATATCGGGAAAGTTGTTATTCGTATGAAGTCAAATGTTTTCGTACAAATAAGGCGTGGTTGTGTACCGATAATTTCAGTGCAGGAAAATGTATCCTTTGTATTGAGAACTGATTTGAAAATGAAATAATGAAATGGTGATGAGTTGCTTTAACCTATTTAAATCATATCACGCAAGTTGTTTCCAAGAGTTTCAGTTCTCGTAAACCCACTGAAGAGGCGTTAAAGTAAGTTTTATATTATTGATGAAGCAGATGCGAAAATTAAATGGCCAAATAGAAAATATTTTACAAATGATTATAGTAATTATTTATGATAATATTTTATTTTTTTCATTTCATCATTCCTTTAAAGATCTCTGGTACATAAAAACCCTGAAAACTTTAATAATAGTCCTAGATTTAGTATTCAACTTACAAAATGACACTGTAACAATTAAGTTTTCACTTATTGACATACTTTTTACTATAATAACCATTAAAATTGTCTGACATCCAATTTATGGGTCTATGCAAATAATGTAACAAACACTTTATAAATAGAGTACTATACTAAGTAACTTATGTAAGTTATGTAAGGTTCTTGAACCCAGCAAAACAGATTCTATTGTAAACAGATATTCCTAGAATGAATGAATGAATAGAAGTCATTTTTTCCAGTTGCAAGTCTAGGCATTTAGTCTTATTAATTATTAATAAAGATGGTTATTAGAAATGTTAATAATTAATTAATTAAATTAACACTGTCTTAAATGATATATGTGTATCCAAACAAAGAATTTCCCTTTTATAATACTACAATTTATGTCAGTGTCAATAAATAAATCGGTAATCTTTTTCTTTATTGTCATAATTATTGTATTGTTATTTGTGCTCTGAAAATTAACGATGTGTAAAATTTATTATTAGTTTCTTTCTGTTTAGCAATTCAGTCTTCCATCTTAGAACTGTGTGTTTTAGGATGTTTATAACTCTTATATTTTCTCATTTACGTAAACGATAACATTAATTTGTCATGGGAATACACATACATACTGCACAGACTTCAAAGCCAAATTACCTAACACGCAACTTTACAAGACTTTTCTGTCAAACAATCTGGTCTCTCTCACTCTCATTTTACTAATTTACCACTTGAATTTGGGAAGCGCTAACAACAGTTAATATTTTGAGCATGTAATCAAATTTCTGCTTTAATTTAAATGACGTATTTTTCGGGGATGTTTTGCAGGAAGAAGCCCCTGTGCAACACTATGCAGCGCTGATCTTCGCTAACGTTGCAACTACTGATGGCGTACACAGCGAGAAACTGTGTAGTAACGAGACTGCACAACTTTTGTGGCATCTGTTTACGCATTGCACAGCAGATGCGTTGAAGGTCACAGCCATAAGTGTAAACAAATACTTTAATTACTTTATTTTTTGTAATTTGAAACAAATGTATGTATATATCATATGTATCGTATCATTGTAGTATCAATATTGCCACCTTCATCATTTTCATAATGACATGATCATAAATGGGGCTTGCCATGCCTAAACCAGTGTTAGTGACAAAAACATGAAAATTGACTTTTTAATACATTCGTATTCTCTGACATTGTAAGCTTTAAAATGATTGTCATTAACTGGAATTTACTATTGCCAAAGTTATGAGTAAAAATATTAAAACCTTTCTCTGAACCGCGGCATTCAATACTGCCACGTTCTTATGCTATTTTCTCAGTTTAACTGTTTGTGACAGTATGCTGGTTTAGGGATGACAAGTGGCATCATTAATGTCGCCTCCTCCTCCTCCTCATCATCATCTTCATCATCCTCATCATCATCATTTTCATCATAATTCCAAATTATTCTCATTACCATCATCATTATCTTCATCATCCTCATCCTCCATTTCATCATTATCATCATCACCACCTCCATTATTATCATTATCATCATCATCATCATCCTCATCAGGCCTGGAAAAAATATTATTGTGCCTCCGACCATGAGAATTATCTTGATCAAATGCCTCCAGCACCAAATGCTATCTTTACACTATTATAGCTAAACAGTAGTACATTTAGAGGTTTGGAGCAAACAAAAATATTAAATTTAATTATGCATTAAATTGTGATGTGTAAAAAAAAAATTTTTTTTTTTCTAAAGTGCCTCCAGCTTAAAGGTCAAAGCCTCCGACCACCGGTTGCGCGGTCGCGCACTTTTTTTCAGCCCTGATCCTCATCATCATCCTCACCACCATTAATCTCATAATCATCATCCTTTTCATCATCATATTTGTCACCATTATCGTGATCATCTTCCTCATCATTAATTGCAATATCATATTTTTCAATATCATCCTCACCATCATCAACATGATTCTCATCATCATCCTTAAAATTACCATTGTCATTGTATTGATATATATTTTAGTGATAACTACATACACTATAGATTTTGTTAATTCAATGAAACTTTTTTTCTGGCCACAACAGGCCTTGTGTAGGTTGACCAGACACTCAGTGTCCGTTTTTCAAGCCGTGATTGACAAGATTGGACTCCCGGTGGTACTGGATGCTCTGAGTGTGACCATTAACAAGGTCCAGCAAGCAATGGTCACTATGTTTATAGCCACTCTAGTGGATGGAGTACACTTGCAGAGGATTGTGCAAGATAAGGTAGGTAAAAACAAAAACAATAAAAGAAGAATACCATTTGTGATTTATCTAAACCAAAGACAAAAAAAATCATTGTTTTATTATGGTCTAAGAAGAGATATTTAGCTTAATTCTAGTGTGTTAGATTATATGTATTTTTTGATGTTTATTAATTAGATTTTTTTATTCCCTTTTTTCTTTACATGTACAATGTTTACAGATGATGAAGGTATACATATTAGTACTGACATGTCGTTGCTTCTTAGCATAGATATCATATCACTTTCATTGTATAATTCTACACAAATCATTTTTTATAGGTATTAAATTCTTTGCTTTGTAAAAATGATTTTTCTTTAAAATGTATGGTTTCTATTTCAGTTTGTATTACTGGTATGTGATATGTTTCAGGTGGATAAATGTATGCAAATTGATTTTTGAAAGTACAAACTTCAAAAATTCTAAGGTACATTCTCGGTACATAAACGTTATTATGTGTTAAAAGCTAAAAATAGATATGAACTTAAATTTAACTTGTAGCAACCTTTTCCTTTTTTCTGCTTGGCAATCTGCCAAAGCCACATCCCATAGTAGTAGTGCAAAACCCTAGCCAATTGCGTTCCAAGTTCCGTATGTGACAAAATATATAGTAGACCTGTGTTAATTGGATTTTCCTTTCACAGAACTTTTAACCTCCTTTACATAATATTGATTAATACATAGACAAACATGTTTATGCAACGTATGTATAAGATGGTTGAGAGTCTAGAACCTGCTAACAGTGACTCACTTACCTATATTTTCTTTTGGAAAATATGGCCACTGCTGAAGCAGCAATATGTTTGATGTATTAATTACAATGTAATAACTTAATTATGTTAATAGTAATGTATTAATTATAATATAATAGTTTAATTAATTATAATTCATAGACTACTAATAAATAAGTAATTTATTTTATTTTGCAATGAGTTAGTTAATTATTATATGTAAATACAGTAGTTCCAATTAATTATTTTAAATTATTTTATATAAATGTTGATGTTAATAATCAGTAATGAATCCTTATGATAAATCAAAATATTGTATATTATCCATCCGGAAATTAATTGCAAAAATTGAAAAAGGAATTCACTCCACATAATATTATGTAATAGCTGCAGAAACTAATTTGATTTATTTTTGATGTTTTAAAATTATTCGTATTTCATTTGAGTCTAGGCCATGAAATCAAATTTGATGTTAGTGTGGGGGATGTGTTGATGGTGATTAATTTTGAAGATACACTACCTATGTTAACATTTGGAAAATGTCTCAAAACTTCAGTATAAAAACACTAAATTGTTCACTGTAACTGACTGATGACACACAGATCAAACCTAGGTTCAATTTTCACCGATTTACAGATATTTCATACAAAAAAATTCTCAAATTAAGTAGTAATGAATATAAGGGTCTATATGCAAAGAATAAGGAATAGTATTATTGTTTTTATGTGACTGCTTATGTGTGAAGAAAATATTTTCTTGTGAATTTTCATATAAAAGCTTCTTACTTAATGATACTTTGCAGATTCAGATATTTAATTTTATTTGTTAAAATGTGTAAGCACAATACAGGTAGTAATTTTTTTAAAGTGTATTCATTATGTAGGCACATCAATCAATCAAATAAACATTTATTTCTTTTAAAGAAAAATATAATATTTATGCTAAATCTTAAATAATTTGTGGCAAAAAAAGGCCAAACCAGTCAGTCGTCGCAAATCCTGTTTCCGAGATAATGGCCAAAACATGCTGGAATGTTCAAATTTTGGAAATCTTTCATTGCACTGAACTAACCTTTATATATCTATACATAATGCTATGCTGGTATTTTCCCCATTTTCAATGTTAAAACAACAGGTTTTTAACGAAATGCCCAAAATCATAAACTCTGAAGGCTGATTTCTTAAATATTGTTCTTTAAACAGCTGTTATGTTTATACTACTGTAACTTTTAATGTGCTTTAATTAATTTTTTTTTAACCATTTTATGGCTCTCATTTTACTGTTTAACCCTGTATTCATAACTAAAAATTTAATTTTGCGACAAGTGACTGGTTAATTAGCTTTTCTTTGCCACATATATTGAAGGCAGTCATCTGAATAACCAAGCTGCACCTTCTCTCAATATGCTTATCTACTAAAAATATCTAGTAATATATCCTGCAAGCACATTAAAATTATGATACTGAGATTGAAAATTGCCATATAGACCAACAGGCAAGGGTCTACAGTATATATAAATAGCCAGAAAATATAGAGGGGAAGATTTCCGTTCATTTTTGTTTGTTCAAGTGTTACTCTCGTCTATTTCTGGAAAGAATGAATGAATGGGAAAAAAAATCATATTATAGTCATACTTTTATACTTGTTATTGCTTTCAATATTGTATGTATATTTACCTCTTTGCATGTAATTATTTATTTTCCAATACATTTTGCTTTCATTATAAAGTTCATTAACATTACACTGTAGTTAGTTTCTGTTGTAGAGTACATTTATTCATGTTGCCTACCATCGTTGTAAATTTCAGTTCGCTGCCGTAGACAAGCTTTTGTAAACATGTTTTTTCTCCTTGTTTTGCCAACTCATCATCAGGGACTTAGTTGATCAGTATCCCGTAATTAACACAGCAAATGAACGGATTGTTTCGTTCCGTTTTTGTGGTCTGGGAAAGACTACTGTATTACTGCGCCCTCATTAGACTGCTGATTGTGGCTTTGAATTCCTATAATTTTTTGCCATTCTTTCATATCCATTAGTTATCTCACTGTAAAAAATACTAGTTGAATCATCCAAGGTTTAACTAATAATTTAGCCAAAACACAACATTTCTCACAATCTCACATGGTCATTAAATCATGTTTGTTTCGGACATATGTACATGTATATGTAAGTTTTCACAATATATTTGTTCCATTTTTATCCAAACATTTTTTAATTCTTTTATATGTTCGCTGTTAAAATGTTCTTTATCTAGTTGTCAATTTAAAAATGTAGTTGAAACATTGTAAAGCAAATTTGAAAGTATAAAAAAGTTTGTAATTTTGAATGATACAAATGTTGAAAAATGTTATCTTAAAACATAGTGACCAAAGATTTTATTTAATGATTAATAAATTATTCAAGAAAACAAATTTATATTACCTTACATTTTGCATATTAATTAGAACAAGTAGAATATTTGAAGTATTGCTTTTAGATGTTGCTAAAACAATATATTATATTTTATTTTATTTATTATATTTTTAAATATCTTTTTTTTTTATTCTATTATGTAAATTTAAGAGAACATTATATTAAAATATTATTAAATATGTTGAAGTATCAAAATTGTATTGCCTCCTGAAACAAATTGTTTGAGGAAGGGGAAGGATTAGCGACAAAGTACAATCTTGTACACTGATGCAATTTGGAAGTATTTCATCAGCATTCATAAGCCCTAGGGACAGTCACAACATAAGTATACAACTAAAAAATGCACTGATTACAAATACAATGATTTTTGCCATCTTTTGAATCATACATATTCGCCTTTGTGAATAAACAAC